CCCAAATGTTCACGCAAAAAAAGAAGGCGTAACTTTAATTCTTGCTGTTGCCGCCGCTGCCATGTTGTGGAGCAGCTGTGTGTTTCGTTGTGAAAGCGAAACTACTTTGTTTGGCCTTCCAAAAGAGGACACGACTACAAATCAGTGGTTAAGTTGTATTTACAACACTGTTCCAGAACACTTCAACCCAAATATTCAGATGTGTGCAGCACATTTTATGGAGGATGAGGACTGTTTCCTGAACCAGTAGCCTACAATGCGTCTGTGGCACAAAGGCTGTTTCTATAAAGTGGGGCAGTTCCAACTTTGCAAGGACAGTCTGGCGCTTCTGACTCACTGCCTGTAAGTACGTTTTTTATATTTAAATAATTTGCCACTGATGATTCAAAAGCCAGTTTTGAGCAGTGTAGAGTAGCGCTTGTTGTTTGTCGTTTCTCCGATCACAAATGCAGACATGGTTTTATGTTTACACAGCGCGATACGCAACGCAACGCATAAAAACACAGTATAAGTCATTATAATCAATAATTATGTCCCCACTGGATGCAACGAATGCCTCATTTGTAATAGGTTTTATTGGTTTTGTCTCGTCCTGCTGGGACACGGCATCACAATATGGTAAGGGGCGTAACATTTCCGTCACACGCTTGAGGCATTCGGCCAATCACAACACACTGGATAGCTGGCCAATCAGAGCACACCTCGCTTTTTTAGAAGGATGAGTTTTGTAAAAATCGACGCGTTTCAGAAAGGCGGGGCATAGAGGAGAAACAATAATATACATTATGTGGAAAATATTGTGTGTTTTTTTTTTACCTTAAACCGCATAAACACATTGCATTACACCAAATACACCAAATAATGTTATTTTTAGCAGCATCATATGACCCCTTTAATGGATTATTTTGAACAGGTAATGAAGTTTCAGTGTTACACATTAATTAGCATTAACTGCAACAGTGCCAAAACAATCCATATTTGTGTAATATGATAAATAGTCTGTAACATGTTTTGCTTGATTGATTACAGGAACACAGCAAAACAATCAGCTTTTAGCTTTTATATATTTCATTTGTGGGGCTTTATTTTTAATAGTTTGATTTGATTATCCTATTTGTCATTGGTGACTAGTAAGCTACAGTTTGTATACAACAATGCCTGAAACAAATCTCTACAAATGTATCTGTGGCCTAATAGAATTGGTGTGAGCATTCTGTGTCATTATTTCTTTCTCTCTTTTTTAAATAACCAGTTTTTACCAGCCTCCACAGCCCCATCAGTATCTTTTTAATTATTCTGAATATCAGAATTATAATTAATGTCACACTAAATGCACATTTACTTCTGTCACATATTTTCTGCTATTACTATTATTATATTTTAAGTTTTTTTTTAAACATCAAAATCTTTCCACAGAAGCCTGTTTGGGAATCACCAATCTCCAAGTACTATGGTTTGTGCACTGTATTAGCCTATATAATCAATTTCAAATTATAATGATTACAATATTAACATTTTAACTACAAGAAAAAATGTTCTCCGTATGTATGTAGCTTATGTAGGTATCAGAAACACTGGCTATATACAAAATAATCAAGATTTTATATATTTGTTTCAAGCATTGTAGTGAACACACTGCAAATGAGTTAATATTCACGTAAACTCCACCCACTGGAACAGTTTCTCACAGGAACCGAATATTACACAAAACCGGATCACTAACTCAGAACCAGAAACCCTGTTGTACTTTCTGATTGAATGTTATATAATAAATGTTTCAGTTTATATAATTTGTGAACACTTGTGGCTTTTTAATATGTATTGCTTGATTTTTTTGCATATGTTATTGTTATTAAAAAATGAACCAGTATGCTGTATGTGTACATATCTATTTAAGTATTTATTTGTTTATATGTTAATGTCTATTTAGTTAAATATGCAAAAAAAAGCAAAAAATAAACCTATAAATAAACCTTTTTACACTTCATGAATTTATTGTTATATTAAAAGATTAAGATTAAATTAGAATAAAATTATAAATTACATATTAAATTATAATTAAATATTTAGATTCAAAAGATTATATTTTATATTTACAATAGGATGTTAATAATGTAACACTAAATATTTAATATAAATTAAAACATGAATAGAAACCATATTAAATTACTTATATTTTATTTACTTATTAAAATGCAATAAATAATAAAACTCTTTACTCTTCATAAATTCACTCTCATATCAAAAGAGAACATCTTTTATCTTTAAATGATATATTTAAAGATATATTACACACACATATATAAACTAAAACTCTGAAAAATTATAAATTACATATTAAATTGTTTAGACTGAATTCAGATTCAAAAGATTTATATTTAATTGTTATTTAATTTTACAATTTTTTAAAATAAATTTTACAACATGATGTAAAATGGAAAAAAAATGTGGGTATTCTAAACGTGTGGTATTCTAAATCTTGTGATATTCAGAGAAAATATTATCAGTTATAGATTCTAAATCAAGTCTCAGATCAGCATTTCTAGTCGAGTTTTGAATCAACATTTGGTGCAAGTATCGAACATCCATTTAATATTCATTCAAGAGGCATATAAATAGTTACAGACCTGTCGCTCTCCTTCCATTCATAGTGAACTTAATTTTACAATTTTTTAAAATAAATTTTACAACATGATGTAAAATGGAAAAAAAAATGTGGGTATTCTAAACGTGTGGTATTCTAAATCTTGTGATATTCAGAGAAAATATTATCAGTTATAGATTCTAAATCAAGTCTCAGATCAGCATTTCTAGTCGAGTTTTGAATCAACAAAACAAGTATCGAACATCCATTTAATATTCATTCAAGAGGCATATAAATAGTTACAGACCTGTCGCTCTCCTTCCATTCATAGTGAAAACACTTGAATGAGTTGTTTTCAACCAGTTGTCTTTATTTCTTTCACAGAATAACCAACTGGACGTTAACCAATCAGGTTTCAGAAGTAGCCATTCAACTAAGACTGCATTACTGTCAGTCACTGAAGCCCTGCGGATTGCGAAAGCTGATTCCAAATCATCAGTTCTCGTTCTGCTGGATCTATCTGCTGCCTTTGATCCTGTGAATCATCAGATTCTTCTGTCCACCCTCTCATCACTGGGCAGCACAGGAACTCTACTTCACTGGTTTGAATCTCACTGGTAGGTCTTTCAGGGTGGCCTGGGGAGGGGAGGTATCCAGATCACATCAACTGGTCACAGGGGTTCCTCAGGGATCAGTTCTTGGACCCCTCCTCTTCTCCATATACACTACATCACTGGGACCCATCTTACAAGTACATGGTTTCTCCTACCATTGCTATGCTGATGACACACAGCTCTATTTTTCACTTCAACCAGATGATACAACAGTAGCTGCACTGATCTCAGGCTGCCTGGCGGACATCTCGGCATGGATGAAAGAACATCACCTACAGCTCAACCTGGCAAAGACTGAGTGTCTCGTCTTCCCTGCCACTCCGACCATCCAGCAAGGTTCATCAACAATTACCCCATCAAGTTTGGTCAGAAATCCTGGCGTAATCTTTGATGACCAGCTCACTGTTCCTGGCTGGTGGAATAATCTTCCCACCCCCATCCGAAATGCTGAATCCCGAAGATGTCTAGCTTGCACTAATCTGAACAATGTCTGAAACTTTGTATTACAAGCACTTCCTGTGTTTATTTGCCTCTTTATGACAAATCGCTTGTTGTTTTCCTCAATTGTAAGTTGCTTTGGATAAAGGCATCTGCTAAATTAATAAATGTAAATGTACAAATGACAAGCAGGGACCAAAACAAATCTTAGTGTGTGTAGTTTTATTAAATTCCACTAAGGAATTACAGTGGTAGTATTTTTTCAACAATATTTCTTACAAATACAAATTTATCTGAGTAATCCCCTAAAACTGGAGCAGAACTTTTAAATGAAAAAGCTAAAAGATTTTTTAATTACATTTTTTAATAATAAACAAAACAAAATAAAAAACTAATACTAGTGGCAGGTATACATTTAAACGGCTAACAGACCGTTCTTTAGCACAGCTTTAACTATAAGCTGACATCATCAGCAAAGCTCCTTACATACTGTGTATAAATTATGAACCTTTTACAGTCTGGACAAGCATGAAATATTTCCATTAAATTGCACCGAAACCTCTGCTGACCAGAAATAGAACAACATTGACATCATTGCACATGTTTGCCACTTGCTTGCATTAATTGTGACAAGTGGGAGTCTGTGAGTTGAATTATGGGATGATTCCCTTATGGGTTGAATTTGTTTGTTTTGACAAATTTTGGCTTTCTGAGGAGCAAGTGAGGCACAATATAATTTGATTTAAAACTACTCTATATGAGTAATGAGGACTAAACAATCTCACCATCCTGCAAAGCAGAGTCTAAGAGATAGTTCAGAGCCTAGCTAAAGGCCTTATGAAAAAGGCATGTCTAATACCTTTATAACACTGAGACATTATCATCTACATATTAGCGTCACACAGGCTGTGGAACACTGTACTTCTTATGCTACATTTAGTGAGATTAAAATATAATGACATATGTATGTAGCTTGTTTGTTTAGTGTTCATGAAACACCTACAGGTCATATTTCACCCCAGACGGTTTTTTGGCCATTACGTTTTTCTGAATAGTGACAAATATAGAATCTCATTACTCTAATGTTTAGATATTTTGCTTCTTATTATTCTCAAAGGTGATTCTCGTTAGATTAGATTAGAACACTTTACAAGAAGGTTCAGTTCGTTAACATTAATGCATTTGGTCTCATATACTAACAATGAACAATATTTTTTGCAGAGTTTATTAATCTAGGTTAATGTTAATTCAAAATACATTAATGTTAATTTATACAACTTGAAATGTAAAACATTTATATTTAGAAATTAACCAAGATTAATAAATGTATAAAAGTACTGTTCATTTTTATTTCATGATAGTAGTGAAAATAATAAAATCACATAATTATTATATATATTTTTTTAGACAAACCAAGGTAGTACAACAAATATTACAACAATTTTAAATAAAAATTACAAATTAAATTATATGTCCTAAAAATATGCTGCATTTCCCATATAACAAAATGGTAATTTATTTTCTTTTGATTTTGGGGTGAAGTATAATCTGGACATGTTCTTGAGAATCACTGCTTTAAAAATTCTCCATGTTTTAGGCACATTATTCTAAATCCAATTCAGCATCTGGGGGAAATTAGACATCTCACAAGAAAACATCCTCAAACAAGCCCACATACAAAACTGAACGTACATTTCATTCTAAGAAACAGTTACATCAAACAAAAAAAAGTGTTTAAATACTCCAGCACACAGGTTTGACACGGTCTGTCTAATGTAGACACAGACACTCAGTTTCTGTCTCCAAAGTTCCCACAAAGCTTTGCTGCAGTTTTTAGCTGGAGTGAACAGCGCTGTGCACCACAGGAAGCATTATAACAAAAACACAATCTAGTAATATTTTAAAAGTGCTTTAGCGTTTAGTGCCTTTAGTGAATACATTCACACACACACACACACACATACATACAAACAAACCTACAAAGTAAACCAAGTAACCACATATGACGAGGTGGAGACTGCAACACAAACACACAATTAACCTTCGAGAAACTATCTGACCTCGCTGAGGTTATAGAGCAAGAGAGATGGAGAAAACACTTCAGGGGTCTTCAGGATAAAGCCAAGCCATCTGGAAAATCCATCCGAAGCAAAATCCAATCCAGATTTTGTCCTTTTAATATAACAAAAGCAGTTCTTTTCTCCCTTTTTGCTGGTTTGTTCTCCCACAAGTGTGCTGGATGCTGAAATGTGTGGATACAGCTTTGCAGAATGACAGAGAACCACCCAAAAACTCACTAGTTACGGAGTTAGATCAGTTTTAAAGATTCAGTTCATTAGTTATTTCACTTTAAACACTGGAGGGTTTTAACATACATAGTCCAAAAAGATATGCCCTGTTGCCAAGACTGCATCAAGTCTTTCATAAAAGAACAATCAAATGTCAACAAAATTAAAAAATAAAAATAGCACAGACACAAACCGTGAGAAAGCAGAAATTTTAAATAAAAACATGAGGCAGCACTGAGTGTAAAGGCAGCCGTAGCGTAGAGGAGTGAAGATGTGAGGCTGTAGTTCAGTAAGGCCCTTTGAAGGGTCCGAAGATGGCAAGCGGGAAGTGTTTGACATGAGATGACCACTGAGCCGCAAGCTGGAAAAACTTCACATCGTTCCATTCTACTCCATCTATCAACACTGGAGGGAGGAAACACAAATCCACACACGACAGTCTTTAGTCATGTTTCATGAATTCCACAAACATAAATTATACATTATCTATACCTAAATTATAAAGAGATGTATGTAAAAAAAACTGAACCCAAAATGTTGATTGGTATATAATTTATTATTCATAAAATTATTCATTATTAATATTATTAAATTTATCTGAAATTATTATTAAATTTAATTAATGGTGCAATTACTATTTTTAAATCTCTAAAGTCCATTTATATATTGTTATTCATGAGCTGCTGGTTTGCATGAATAACATTTATAACTGTACTATCCTTCAATAACAGTGTCTTTGAAAGGCTGAAATTACATTGTTGCAGGTTCACAAAACAGTTTGCACTAAAATGTGCCACTTTTTCTTTTTAGCTTAGTTACTTTTTGGACTGTGGAGGAAGTTTTGAGTTCTTAAAGCTACAGTATGTTTTCATAACACAACAAACTGATGACGATTATGATATGACCCCTATAAGCACAGTTTATTGATTGTATTGTAAGCTGTAGTGATTACTTTGATGAATTCTGATTGGCTGATCACCTTTCAGCATGGTCTGCTGGTGTTTGGCTGTGCAGATGAGTCGACTTATGCCCTCTATCACCTGACTCTTAGACTCTGCCTCCTTATCCTTGGTCTTTTTAGGCAGAAACATCACTGAGCACAGAGACAGAAAGAGTGTTTGATGCTTATTCAACAACACAATACATTTTATAAACGGAATGTGTTCCTGTAATTGTTACTATGGCACTGTGTTAAAGTCCCCATGAAATCAAAATGAAAGTTTTTTGGGTGTTAATATCAATATGTTAGTCTTCAGGTTATCTATAAGGCAGTGTGCTTCAAAACAGTGACAAAATTCGCATTTAGAAGATATAAGTATTCACAGCTTTTAGTTCGTCACTTCAGCCAAAACGGCTCAATGATTTTTTTGACGTCACATCGTACTTCATCTTCTCATTAAATCTTCTGATCAATCAAACGCTCTCTAGAAGCCGAAGGGCCCGCCCCCTACACTATAAAATAGACACTGAAGCTGCGGCTGAGATCGGTCACTTGTTCACAGTGTAGTATTTCCTGTACAGTGAATGGCACGTAGTGCACAATGTAGGCGAGAGGGAACGATTCAGACAGTGTATGCTTTCGATTGGGGCAAATGAGGTCTGGTTTCACATTGTGTCACGCGAACCGCGGCAGCGCACACAGTCTGATCCGGACTTTGGCTCCGGACCAGAGACGCGATCGCACGGAGCGGATCATATGCGCGAGTCGGCATATATTAAACACTTTTAAAACTACACAGCCTCAGCATGATTATGATCACTATTTTGTTTTACTAAGAGTTCCATATTGAATCTAGGGGGTAAACTATTAGACTGTGGCTGTCAAATGCGGCTTTACCGAGCTCAACAGCTCCCTCTGACCTGTGCAGATATAAACAAAATTCTATTGGCTAACTTAAAAAGGGGGCGGGGCTGCTCGATATGTCCCGCCCTGTCTTCCTGTTTCAGTTGAAATTACGTCACCACATAGAATAACACTGCGTGTTTCAAGGCACTTCAGGGGACCTTTAAGTATTGTGTTTCAGTGTCTTACCCTTCTTATTCTTCTCTTTGGTGACAACAGTCATGGACATGGTTGGCTGATGTGTCGTCTCTGCTCCGCCCAGTGGGAGGCGGCTGACCTGCAGTGAACGGAAGGTGCCCTTGAGCGTGTTTTTGGAGTCTCTCTTCTCCACGTCTTTCTTCCTCTCTGATGGAGCAATCCAGTAATCAACCTGAAGACCCATCAGCTCCCCCTGACCTCCTCCAGGAGAACTGCAGCCACAAAGACAAGGTGAGAAAATAGGAAGACTAAAGAGACCTCAGACACCTAGCGCTGTGTGAGTTTGTACCTGGACATGTGTACAGAGGGAGAAGAAGGAGGCGTTGGAGATGCTTCTTTCAGTAATGGGGAGATCTGTGCAGGAGGAGTAGACGAGAGAAGAGAAGATCCCACAGGAGCAGCGTCATCTGAATCGCCTACAAACACACAATCACATGCACAAATCATTCATAAACCACCTTAAATATAACATTTATATATAAAAATAATATAAATAGTTTGGGTTACAATTGGGAGTATTTTACATTAGGGCTGTCAGAATCTTTTTTTTTTTTTTTTGTTGAAAAATCGTGATAAAGTGTATCATAAATAATACATCAGGCTTTTGAGGAACATCATCACTGTATTGCACTGCATTATGTTTTGCTCCCCACAAAAAAAACAAAAAACTTTGATCATAAAACTAAGCATTTAAAAATCATCTTACTAAGACATTTTATTGGGAAATATAGAATGACAAATGCTATGTATATTAATTTCATGCAAGTAAGCTGCTATTCTGTTATAAAGATCTCACTGATTTGCATGACAAACTATCAGAATTTCTTATCTTACCTTTTGGCCATATACCAGTAACTGCAATAAATTTCATACTTTTGCTCAGCTTGGGCCTCTGAGTAAAACTAATGTGTGTTTTCCTGATGTATCAAATATGATACTCAACAAAAACACACATGTAAACTTTTTTTTTAGATTTTGTCTAAAGGTTCAATAAACTAATCCATTTCAAATTAGTTTTTTTCTAACTATTATTATATGTGTTATGGGCATTTTATATGGGTTAACATGTTCAACTGACAGCCATATTTAATATATAATTGACAGTATAACTAACCAGATGTTGCAGAAGTTTGTTCAACAATCCCCACTTTCACCACCTGCAGACAGGTTGAAAACAAATACACTATAAAAACATTCAATACAACAGTTAAAACATTTCAAATGATAAAGCCATGATTGCAAATGGACACGTACCCCAATAAAAGGAATGAATTTCTGACACGAGTCTTCATCAGGACTGTGAGAGGAAAAAGGAGACAGGACTTTGAACACATGGTTTAAATTAACCATTAAAAGTAAAGTAAATTAACCCTATTAAATCAATCAAATTATTGATACAGTAGGGAAAAAAGGCTTCTTCGAGGGAAAACAAATCCTGGTAGTTACCCATTCCTTTCTATGGGGAAATATTCAACAGATTTAACTATTTTAGAAAGAAGAAGAAGAAAAAAAAACATTCTAAATATGTGTATTTTAAATATATGTATAAATAGATGTATGGTGTTTTACACATTACATTAAGTAAAAAGAACAAGCCATTTGAAAAGTAGCACAAAAAAAAGGCTGAATACAAGCAATTCAGCAGCAAGATGATAAGAGACATGTGGAATCTGACATCTGAATATGTCTGCAATGGATGCAATTGTTTTCCTTCATAAAAAAGCAAATCTTTCAGATATTTTCGAAATGAATGAGTAGAAATGAATGAGTAACTGTGATAATCAGAATGTTTCCCACATCCACGCTAAACCACATCCATAGTATCTTTCTACAGACTATATCAATTAAAGAACCTTAAGTTTAGAGAAACATTTTGATCTCTGAGGAGAAAAGGCTTCTAAAACAGATTTTGTTAATCCCACTGTCTGATTTGTTCACTCTTTGCGCCACCCACTGAGCATCCTTTCACTTACAGCGGACTGTGAGAGGAAAAAGGAGACAGGACTTTGAACACATGGTTTAATGACTAGTAAATTAACCCTATTAAATCAATCAAATTATTGATACAGTAGGGAAAAAAGGCTTCTTCAAGGGAAAACAAATCCTGGTAGTTACCCATTCCTTTCTATGGGGAAATATTCAACAGATTTAACTATTTTAGAAAGAAGAAGAAGAAAAAAAAAATATTCTAAATATGTGTATTTTAAATATATGTATAAATAGATGTATGGTGTTTTACACATTACATTAAGTAAAAAGAACAAGCCATTTGAAAAGTAGCACAAAAAAAAAGGCTGAATACAAGCAATTCAGCAGCAAGATGATAAGAGACATGTGGAATCTGACATCTGAATATGTCTGCAATGGATGCAATTGTTTTCCTTCATAAAAAAGCAAATCTTTCAGATATTTTCGAAATGAATGAGTAGAAATGAATGAGTAACTGTGATAATCAGAATGTTTCCCACATCCACGCTAAACCACATCCATAGTATCTTTCTACAGACTATATCAATTAAAGAACCTTAAGTTTAGAGAAACATTTTGATCTCTGAGGAGAAAAGGCTTCTAAAACAGATTTTGTTAATCCCACTGTCTGATTTGTTCACTCTTTGCGCCACCCACTGAGCATCCTTTCACTTACAGCCCCTCCCAACTATCAGTTAAAGGGTTGATTCACCCCAAAATGAAAATTCTGACATTACTTACTCACACTCACGTCGTTTCAAACCCGTAAGACCTTCGTTCATCTTCGGAACACAAATTAAGATATTTTTGATGAAATGTGAGAGCTCAGACCCTGCATAGACAGCAACGCAGCTGTATTGTTCCCAGGTCCAGAAACGTAGTGAGGACATCGGTAAAACAGTCCATGTGACATCAGTGGCTCAACTTCAGTTTTGTGAAGCTACGAGAATACTGTTTGTGTGCAAAAAAAACCAAAAGTAACAATTTATTTAACAATTCTTCTCCCCCGAGTTACGTCTTCTGCCATTTTGGAGAGTACCCAAGAATGTAATCGCCGTTGTTTATGTTAGGGGGAAACAACGCCCATGAATGTAATCTGCGTAATCAGCGTTATTTACACTTGGTAAAGCGTGCGTATACATTGTGATACTCTCCAAAATGGCGGAAGACGTAACTCGGGGGAGAAGAATTGTTGAATAAAATCGTCATTTTTGTTTTCTTTGCGCACAAAAAGTATTCTCGTAGCTTTGCAAAACTGAAGTTGAACCCCTGATGTCACATGGATTATTTTACAGATCTCCTTGCTACGTGTCTGGACTTGGGAATATTTCAGTTGCGTTGCTGTCTATGCAGGGTCTGAGAGCTCTCAGATTCCATCAAAAATATCTTAATTTGTGTTCCGAAGATGAACGAAGGTCTTACGGGTTTGAAACGACATGAGGGTGAGTAATTAATGTCAGAATTTTTATTTTGGGGTGAACTAACCCTTTAAACATAACTGACTATTTGGTGTCATCCAGTATAGCGTGTCTGAGACAAATGCTGTGAAGCGAGTGATGCCAGTGTAATTCTTATCAACTGCTGCCGTTATGCCACTGCCCCACCCGCTACTAGAAAAAAAAAACTAAAAGAAAGAAGCATTCTCAGCCAATCAAGGCTCAGATTCAGGCAACTTCAACCAAAGATGGTCTAATGCAGAGATCATAGATCTAGCAACAATAATATTTTGTTAAAATGGTTATGCTAACTTGTAAATTATACTCACAAACAATAAAATGAATCATGAAATCGCCACTCTGTTCAGCATAAAATAGGTTTTTGAGGGAAAGCATTATTTTAAATTTACATACTGTATAATGCTTTTTTTTATTTTTATGAATTTTGCAATACAACCAACAGATTTACATTCAGACTGAAATCTCTTTTTCTGTTAAACCATCTCTGATCACTAGAAGTGCAAAACCCAAAACCAGAAACTAATTATAAGAGAACAGAAAGAATAAATAATCCGTGCCAACGAACCACCCCAAAAACAACACAGCACAAGCCCAAATGGAGGGAGTTCACAGAGTGCATTTGAGCAGAAATAGAAGTTGCTCTCAGTGAAAGGCATAACAGATGGTCTATTGCTCTGCACACCGGAGAATAAAGAGACACTGATGAAACCAATAACTGAGAAATCAGCGGCAATACTTTAAGCACCTGCTCAGAAAATCAAGACCGTGAGTGTGTGTGTTGTGTAGTTTAGGCTGTTTACTCTGATGAGAGAGAGAGATAAATAAATAGAGGAGAGAAAAATGAAAATGAAGCCAAGCCAGAAAATCAATTTACCTCCATCATAAGGTCTGTTCACCTTTTCATTAAAAGTGGAATCATTTGAAATAATTTCCATCCTTTATTTTGCTATTCAAATTGAAAATATTCTCTGGGATATATTCGACGGAACATGTGTGTAATTAAACAAGAAACAACGGAGTGCCTAATAAAACCCTCTTTTGTGTGGAACCACTTCCTTCCGCCACGGATTCAAAGCTCAAGTTGACAGTTAAACATGCGTCACTTTTAGAATTGGTATCAAGGGCATGTGCTGCTTCAGTTAGGTTATTAGTGAGAAATAATGAGGTTATAAGAGAGAAACAATGTGGCAAGACGTGCATCCAAATGAGAGAGAGAGAGAGACCGCAAAGCTAGACGTTTCTTCTTATATTAACTAACGTACTCTACGAATAGCTCAGTCAATAATAATAAAAAAAAAACATAGACCCGGCTAGAACAAGCGGAGTGATACAAAATTGTGAAAGGGTGTTCCTGTAGCGATACCAGTACAATAGCTCACAGTTCTCAACCAATCAGATTTGAGAACCAGAACGAACTGTTGTATAAATATGTAATATATAAATTGTTATAAATTTAGAATATAAATATATATATATATATATATATATATATATATATATATAAACACACACGCACATATATATTATATATTTATACATATATAAATTAACATATATTAAATCAGTCTCTAATTAAATACAATAATTATATGTAAAACACACACACACATACACATATATATTATATATTTATAAATTTATAAATTAACATATAATATTAAATCAGTCTCTAATACATTTCTAATACATTTCATAATATAATCGATAAATTATCCCTCAAGTTTGGTTTATGGTTATGTATGTATTTTATAAAAAAAAAAAATTCAGTGTTTTTAGTCTAGTAATCAAGTAATAAAGTCGTGGCCTAATGGTTAGTGAGTCGAGTCTCAGGTCCGGCAGGGATTGTAGGTGGAGGGAGTGAATGTACAGCACTCTCTCCCACCTTCAATACCACGACTGAGATGCCCTTGAGCAAGGCACCGAACCCCCAACTACTCCCCGGGCGCCGCAGCATAAATGGCTGCCCACTGCTCCGGGTGGGTGTGTGTGTGTGTGTGTGTGCGTGTTCACTGCTGTGTGTGTGCACTAAGGATGGGTTAAATGCAGAGCACTAATTCCTAAATGTCACTTCATTTCACTTCAATAAAGAAGGATGTGTTACACAACAAAAATAGCCTGAAACCTAAAATTATACCTGATTGTGTATAATTAACAATTTTTGTCTTATTTTTTTTTTGCCTTTTCTTTATAAATAAATCCATAAGGTTTTCTTTGTACTGTATACTATATACTATATATTGCACTGTTTGTATATTTGTATATATGTATATTTTTTCGTCTTATTTATCAATACTTTATTCTTGTTTTTCTATTAGCAGCATTCAGAGTGCAAACTAAAGTAAGAATTTCATTGTACAGGGAAATGTGCATATGACAGTAAAGGCTTTGAACTTGAACGTATGCTCCAAAAATTATTATTATGCCCTTGAAGGACATTTAGGTTTGGAATGTTATAAGAAGCTTCAACTGAAAATACTTTGGCACATTGTGTGCTCTGCTGAAGGACATCGGAGGTGTGCAGAGGATGATGGAGGTAATATTCATATCCCACTGCAGCAAGAGATCCAATAAAACCTTCAGATTGATTCCACACTGCAGCCTTTATTATACAATTAAACGGCTAATTCCAAAAACATCAGAAGGTGGAGGAGATGGACCACTTTTAGAGAAATAAAAGGGAGACACTGCAATGCTCAATATAGCAGCTACAGGAAAAGTAGCCCCACCACATAGAGCATAAATCTTGAAGTGTGGATAGAATCTCTAGAGTTTCAACAGAATCTCTGCTCTCCTTCAGTTTATAACTCTCCTTGATAAAACAGGAGAAGAGTGAGCGAGAGAAAGGAAGTAAGAGACTAAAGGTGATATGTATCTGATTGGCTACGGTATCAGCACAGGCAGGAAGACCACAATACCTTACTGCAAAATCTAAATGAAAGCTCTTTTTCCTTCAGAGAGGGCAAGGAAAAGAAAAAATAAAGTATGTTATTTACAGACAGAGATGATAAACAGTGACATTCACATGCTTTCTGTCCAAACATGACTTTAAGGAGGAGGATGCTCATGAAAAAGATGCAAATATCTGGATAAACGAACAAAATGGATCGAGTGTGTTTTTGAGCAGAAAACCAACTATCTGCATCTTCAGAGCATCTGAAAATGAACCCAGCCTCTAATAACACATATTCAAAGCACTTTTATATCAAAAGATTACTGATATTCTTTTAATTGTATTTAGGCAAATACAATTGTCACACTCATTATCTTTGAATATGTTTTATTATAGAGTGGTACACCAAGTTAAATTACACTGAAATCATACAACCTTTATTTTGCCTCCTCTGAAAGGTTTAATTCTTTTATAAAAATATAGATCTGGGCTGCTCTGTGCATGTGTGTATCACCTTTTCTGCTTATAGGTAAGCATGGCCTCTGCTATGGGCAGCTGAAGAGCTCCATTCGCTCCCAACATATACTGCGTTACCCTGGAAACCACATCTGGACTGTCCTGAACTGCTGGATGTTGACAGAGAATAAAAGATAATTTTTTTTATACATTTATAAAAATGTATGTGTGTGTGCATTTACAGTGTGTATAGAAAAGAATCACCCCCTTTAAAATTATCACAGTTTGTTGCTTTGCAGCCTGAAGTGAAGACAGACTTTTTTTTGTTTTATCCAGCTGTATTTACTCAGAGCAACTTATAACATCCAAGTGAAAGATATAATGCCAACATGTCAGAAAAAATAAAAAAACAGAATCACCGAGTTGGACGCCCCCGCATTAAAATGACTGTTTAGCTAATCACCTTCTCAATGGCACACAAAGCCATTTGACTTTCAACTGTGATCAGCTGTGCTCATTTTGATTAGCTCAGCATGAAAAGAGCTTTCCTGGAGCATTTCAGCCCTTGGTAGTGCAACTGAAGCAAACAACTAGCAAGGCAAGGCACAGTCAGAAGACCTCCGGGATAAAGTTGTGGACAGGCACAAGTCAGGAGATGGACACAAGAAAATTTCAACGGCTTTTTCAATGCCTAGAAGCACAGTGAAGTCTATTATTAAGAAGTGGAAGGTATTTGGTACAACACAGACCCTCCCTGGATCGGGACGTCGCTCCAAACTGGATGAAAGAGCCAGGAGGAAACTGGTCAGAAAGGCTACCATATCCTGTTCTGGGGTGTTTCTCTGCAGCAGGGACTGGAGCACTTGGATCTGCATCATGGATAGAAGGAAAAATGGTTGGGGCAAAATACTCTCGGATTTTTGAGGAATATCTGCCGCCCTCTGCCTGAAAGTTGTCAATGGGAAGATGACAACATGACAATGACCCAAAGCACACCACAAAACTGAGCACACAGTGGTTGAAGGAGAAAAAGGTGAATGTCCTTGCATGGCCTAGTCAGAGCCCAGACTTAAACCCCACTGAAAATCTGTGGAATGACGAAGACTGCAGTCCACAAACACTCACCATCAAATTTAAATTAACTTGAGAAACATATCCCAAAAGGCTGTAATTAAAGCAAAAGGTGGTTCAACAAAATACTGACACAAGGGGGTGATCCTTCTTTCAACTCAGTGATTCTGTTTAGTTTTTTTTCCTGACATGTTGGTGTTATATTTTTCACTTGGATGTTATAAATTGCACTGAGTAAATACAGCTGGATCAAACAAAAAATGTGTCCATCTTCATTTCAGGCTGCAAAGCAACAAAATGTGATTATTTTAAAGGAGGGTGATTCTTTTCTATACCCACTGTATATTTATATACACTTTTAATATATTTAAAAATTACACTAATAATTATTAAACAGCATATAATATATTACACTATATAGAAAACTATATACAATTGTAATGTATTTAAAAATTATATTATTATTTAATAAAAGTTGAAAACAATAATAAAATATATTACACTTTTACATTATATATATATATATATATATATATAGTCAAACCAAAAATTATTTAGACACCAGATATAATTTTTGATATTTTTTACAGTGGACTACCAGTAAAACTGATAAAAATTTGGGACCAAAAATTATTGACACTTTTACCTGATCATGATTTGCTTAAGTGTTATCTGACATTATCAAGATGTATTTGTTCTGACACAGTTTAACTCTGAGTTGTCATATTTTCATTTTAATTTTAAAATAGTTTATTTTCAAAACTATAGCGAATAAACTGTGATAATATGTGAAATGTTGAAGGTGTCTGAATAAATTTAGGTTTAACTGTATTTATTTGATAAATGAAGTTAACCAACTAACATTATACATACTCTTTTGGTTTCTGTACCCAATATTTGAAAAATTTACAAATGCAGTGAAAATATTGGTATCGGTACTTGGTATCGGCAAGTACCAAAAATAAAAGTATCGGGCGAGTACTGGAAAAAGTGGTATCGAAAATAGAATATAAAATATATTACACAATATAGAAATATTGTAATTTAAATATTTAGTTTAATTTAATATTTAAATATTTCTAATTATATATCATTATAATATTACTATAGAATACTAAATATATATTATTATGTGAAGGTTTTCATTAAACTATTGAATGTATTATTAAATAACATAAATTTTAAATAATAATAATAACAATGTTAATTAATTTGTTATATTTTTTAATATGCACAACACTTTTTTTATTTATTTACATATTTATTTGCAGATGGTTAGAATGGAGAGAGAATGAGTATATCAGAGACGGTTACCTGAGGTTGGCGCTTCTGGTTTGTGGAAAAGATCTCTCCACGCTGAGTCCTGGAACAGGCCGTTATATCTGTAGTCTATACTGGCCAGATATTTAGCCACTGGATGAACCCCTACACATACACGTGCTTTTTAGCTCTTCTAGTAGTGTTTTATTTGCTAATTTTTTCCCCCTGACCTCTGCACTTACCAAGTGGGATAATAAGGAATCGCAGGTATCCGAGCCAGTCGGGTTAAACAAAAACACTAAACAGGATGGAAAAAAAACAAAAACACCAGACCTTTGTTTAAAAAAAATGTATAGCACCTTGACAGTAATCTAAAATAAGTAAGATCTATCATACTCTTTTCATCTAACCACAGTGATAAAGGGTTTATGTATCCTCACCGGTTGGATGGAATGATAAGTGACTCTGTTTTGGTCATCCGGCCTGTAGGAGGCAACCTCTCCATGAAAGTGTCCATGTTGTCCATCATCTCCAGTTCTGTGGTAGGGGTCACAACCTCAGGATGACCCTAAAGCCCAGAAACACACATAATAAAGCTTAAAAAACACATGTTATACTATATACAACCTCTTTACAGCCTATTTGTATGGACTAGGGCTGGGTGAAAATGTCAAATAAAAAGACACATTATAAAGGCCAAATATGTTAAATTGTCAGAAAATTGATATCAGAGTTTGAACAAAATTACATTATTTTTCACTGCTGCCACTACATCACATGTTGATTCAGTGTGGGTGAGTCATTAGCTGTGATTCAGCTTTAGTGTCTGCTAGAGCTCATCTCTAAACAAACATGTGAGTCTTGATCTTATATTCAGAGAATATATTACAGTGGTGAAGGACATACCATTGAAACATTATCTGATTCATTATCCATCTGAAACTTTCCACCTACAGCCCTTATTTTATCAGGATCCATCTGAACAGAGAAAGAGAGAGAGGTAGATAGTTAGCTGAGGATTGATTAAAGGGTCATGAAACCCCCCGTTTCAGCACTGATTAGTTCTCACCAATTTTTTAAAAAATGCTAAAAAAGTGGGTGTGGTGTGCAGCGGAGCGGAGGGGGAAGAGGGGAGACAGACAACACACACAGCTTCACGTTCAGACCGTTTCATTTCGCTCCCATCAAGTTAAAAACACAAATGTCAACACAATGTAGATTTTAAACGCAGAAGATGAAAACAGAGCAAAAAAGCTTCAAATTAACCAGTGTTCTCCAAGAGTTAAAATTATCGGATGCTAACATTGTCTTCTATGATGTGCAACACAAACACCTCTGCTAAAATCTCAGAAAAAGTAGTCTGGGGTTTCATGACCCTTTAAACTGAAGTGTTTGTGTTTCTAACCTAGCTCATACTTCCTCCTCATAGGGAAAATTGGTTAAAAATAATGTCTATATATTACCATTCCAAAATCTGGGGAAAATCTTTCTGAAGAACTCTAATGCTCAAAGCTGCATTTATTTGATCATAAATGCAATAAAAACAGTATTGTAAAACAATAATACAATTTAAAATATTATTATTTCTATTTTATATAAGTACTTCAATTTTAATATTTTACAAATATAATTTATTCCTTTGATGACAAAGCTAAATTTTCAGCAGCCATTACTCCAGTTTTCTGTGTCACATGATCCTTCAGAAAAATGTTTAATATGCTGATTTTGATGATTAAGAAACATTTCTTTTTATCATCAATGTTGAAAACTGTTGTGCTGCTTAATATTTTTTAGGATTTTGGGGGGGGATTCTTTAATGAATAGAACATTCAACAGAACAGCAATGGGGTATATGTCGAACATCACCTGACCAAAACCGGAAAACAGGTCTCATTGCTTCCGCTTGTCGGAGACCATGTTAACAGCCGTATTAAATAATAGCGATATCTATGGACTTTTAAGATAATAAGTTAAACTAGCTAGCTGTTTTTATTGTTGACGTTTTATTCAATTTTTATATCTAAATGTGAAAAGAATAAAAATAAAAAAAACTTTTAGATATCAGTCCGCATATGTGATGAACATTGGTTATGATCATCATTGGTATCTACTTTGAAGGCATCTTGAGTAAAACGGCTTCATATTTAACTAAGCATATGCAAAACGCTTGAACCGGAAGCGAGGAGACCCGGTTAACAGAATACGGAAGTCTGTTGCGCATAACCCCTATTATTTGAAATAGAAATCTTTTGTAGCATCATAAATATTTTGACCAATTTAATGTGTTCTTGCTGAATAAAAGTTAAAAAAAATAAAATAAATCTTACTGACCACAAAGGTTTGAATGGCACATATATATTTGGAAAGGGTTAGTATTAGGTTATCTTTATTTCAAGTCAATTTAAGTGTATGTTATTATGTGTGCATTCAAATATATCCTAAAACACATGCTCTTACTGGACTGGGCGGCTCTCTCTGACTCCTAACACTGTGAATGCTGCCAATTTCTGTCTGAGAGCTGGATAGAGAAATTCCTTCGAAATATGGTCTAATCCAAGCACAGACACAAAAAGGTAAACACAGCAGGGTTAATAAAATAACACACATCTCAACATTAATATATGCACTAAATAAACACTAATGAACAAACTCTCTTCTCAACATACTTGAGTTTGGGTTTTGGGGTGCTGAGAACACTTTCATCATCATCCAGATCCGGTCCACTGTCACTCGGATTCTCAAACTCTAAACTCTCCAGATCCAGATCTTCCTCTACTTCAGGAGGTGGCTCGGCTGGGTCCTGCTCTGAGTCTAACACCTACAAACATTTAAACGTTATTTATTCCTCATTTGAACTGCAGGAACGTGAGGAATGGTGAGACAGAGGGTCAAGCATAATCTGATGAAACAGAAAATGCTCAGACTCAGCTGCAGGGGAATCGATCCCAATGCGCCATGTGATGTTCCTGACTATTATTAATGAGAGAGGAAATCAATCAAGGATGTTCAGTGTACAATCCAGCTTCTTAAAAGATTTTAACAAGCTGCTGCTGATTGAGCTAAATGCACTAATGTAATTTCTGCTACTATATTAGATGTTATCAACTAAATACTCATATTACATGAGGAGTATGTAATCTCAAATCAAATTCCAACATTCCATTTTAAAAGAGTTTGCTTTCCCTGGATATATCAATTTACAAAAAAGGAAAAAAATGCTAAAAGTCTCAGATAAAGTTCGTCATTGTTTTTGACTATGTTGACAACAGCATACTACCATATTATTGCAGTATGTAGTGTGTATACTTTTTTTCCCAATATTTTTTATGAAAACACTTTGAATTACCATTGTGTATTAAACATGCTACTGTATATAAATAAACTTCTTCAAATTGATCTCTTTCTTGATTTATTATTTGACTGGACTACCAAATAAAATTTTTACACCAGTGTTATTTACTGAAATCATATTTAGTTTTTTTTTTTTTTTCAATTTTCATTTTAATTGTATATTTAGTAGTAATTTTGTTGTTTTTGTCATTTTTATTAGTTACAAATATTTCTATTAGCTTTCATTCATTTTATTTTCAGAATTTATTTTTATTTCAGTTTTAGCTTTAGTAATTTCAGTACTTCAACTTATTTTATTTCAGTTAGTTGCCAAGGCAACATTTCACAAGTTTTTCATCCAATATTTATATTTTATTTTATTTCAGCTTTATTTTGATGAACAGAAACCATATGGGATAGTTAATAACAACACAGTTTTACACAAAGTGGACTAAAATACATAATACCAGTTTTTATTTCCATATTTTACAGGGACATCACTTGCTAAATTAAACATGCAACATTAGGAGGTCATGTGACAACAATGTAGCATACTACTGTTTTTGAAATATTAGTCAGTATACAGTATATACTGGGCAATATTTAGTAAGTTGAAAGCTAGTATTCGATTCCCTACTGACAGTTCTAACTGCTAAATAGCTTCCTTTAATAAAATAGTTGTGAAAACCTTCGGTCAGGGCTCAGATGGCTCCATAATAAGAATCAGCGTCCTGTCAGAACAGTAACAGTAACCTGAGACATAATGCTGATGAGATCATGTTTCTGTCCCGCTGGACGTCACTGCTGTTTCTGTACATTACCACACACTTCCTGTCCTTCAGAAGAGGACTGACCTCTGAACCCAATGTGGCATGTGTTTATTTTGCTGTGGGCAGCATTTTCATTTTCATGCTTACTGGTTATATGTCTAAAATGCTGAATATATAGAATGGTGCAGGAACCAAATACTAGCTTACTACTTGCTGAATACTACTGTGGATACTTTATACTGCCTATTTTTAGACTATGTTTGTAACATGCCCTCCTCTTGTTGCATTGCTAATTCAGCAAGTATTTTAATCCAATTATGTATAAAATGTGTCAACATTAAAAAAAATTAAAAACATTATTTAAGTTTGTTACATTGAAAATTGAGGGTCAAATTGAGTGCTTTGCATTGTGGGCATTTTGTGGGGGAAAATTGTGCAATTTTGGCAACTACAGCAGCTCATCTAGTTATTTCCATGCATACAGTATATACATTTGCATAATGTTTATAATATACATACTATACAAGATTTTCAGCAAACAAGGATTCGCTTTCCGTAGCAGTGCTGATTATGCATGGCTAAATTAATCTGTGGAGCCAGGCAAGGGTCAGGCCTTGTGTCCGCTGACTCACAGACTGAACAGAATCATACAACAGCAGAAGAAATCATCTACCTACAACTAAAAAATGATTTTATTAGGTGAAATAAATCATACAATTACAGCATGTTCATTAATTTATTAACCTGGTTACTCTTTAGGGTTTTTTTCTTCATTTCTGTCACCTTATGGAGTCTGGTGTTCCTTGCCACTGTTGCTTGTGGCTTGCTTAGATTTGGTTTAAAAAACACTTAAAATTCAGTAATATTATCGATTTGACTGCACTGACACTATTCGATGAGAACAATCCTTGAAATAAATTGAGCAGGATGCTAAAACTATTGTTTTCTGTATAGATGAATTAAACTTGTTTCATAAATGATTAACTTTACACACTTAATGAACTTAATCAAACTAACCTGACTTGATCTGAATGACAATAATGACACAATTGTCTTTTTAGAGCTGCTTTACAGTAGAGTTTGAATTTGCCTAATTTTCATGAAGTTTGCATCACCTTTTTATGACTATGAAGCCGCTTTGAAGTAATCTGTATTTTACTAAGCACTACAGTATAAAGGTGGCTTGGCTTGACTTTATAATATCATGTCAGAGGTGAGAGGTCTTAGTAGTAAATCTAAAGTACATCTGGTTCAAGTATGCACACAAACATGGATTTGTTCCACTGAGATGGGAAAAAAAAAGTGTCCAAAACATATTGGTTCACCACACAAGTCAATGAGCACAACCTGCCTAACATGTATTTAAACGCTTCACCTCGCTTAAGAACAAATACACTCTATATTTTTACCCACCTCATCAGAAACTCTGAACCGTTTGAGCAATGCCACCACGCGCTGCTTAAAGTTCTGCTGCTAATGGAGAAAGAGAAGCACACACACAGACATACACACTCATATTAACAGTCTGTTTACTACACAATGGCATCTGACAGTGATGACTGAGTAAACTCTCATTGTTCTCTGGCATTCTTACCCTGGTGATCGACGCCGTCCGGACTATTGACCTCCTTTGCTTTTTTGGTTTCCTTATCTCGTACTCATCATCCTCAAGATCCTGAGGAGCATGTACATACACGAGTCAGCAGAAAAAGAGGGAAATGAGGTTGCTTTGTTTGTATGTGTGTATGTAATCACCTGTCCTTGTGCTGCGTCATCACTGGCCTCCTGCTCCGATGAGAAGCTTTCATACTCTTCTTCGGAGTAATTATCTACCAAGTCAAATAAACAATATTATAAAAAGGACAGGTCCAGTCCTGAATATTGATTGGTCAATACAGCGTTCCAGCTAGTGATGTTCCGATATTGAAATTTTGGCTGATATGATAAACCAATAATGATTTGTAAATAATGCTATGATAATAATGCATTTATGATAACTCATAAATGGACAATAATATATATATATATATATATATATATATATATATATATTTGCTTTAAATAAAAAATAATAATTAAAAGGAAGTTAAAAGAGTTAGTATGCAAAAGCACTATAATGAAGGTCTCCCAAACTGAGGTTTTGAGGGGTTCATGAGGTGATGAAAAGCTAAATAATAATTTAAAAAAATTTAAATAAATAAAAAAAACACTTATTAAAAATAATAAAAGTTATATTTTATTTGTTTACCTGCATGTCATGTGACCATTAACCAGCAGTAGAGAACCATAAATGTGTTGTTAATGAAATATTAACTTAAAATCTCAGGGTGCACTTCATATTCTGAAAATATTCTAAATTATAAATGAGGAAAAAATACTTGCTAATAATCATAAAGGAGGAGCCTCTGGAAAGTTGGTTAGATAGAAAAAAAAAATAGAACCAATGGATTTAAATTATGAATTTGGTATTATAAAAGAGAATCTGTATGTCTGGTCTGAAACAGAATATACTGTATATTTTGAATAATCATTAATAAACTTTTTGTAAGAAATTAAGTTAATTTTATAAATAAACACGTGCACAGCAACTCGTGCCGAAATCTGATAAGGTGCCGATAGCAACAGTCACACTAAAATACACAATATAGAAACAAAACACCTGTTTAGTGTATAACTTCACATCACACATAGAGAACACAATTTGTAATTGCCAGAGACATGTCATAGACTAATTAAAAATAGAGGAGTATGTATGAATTTTTTACCAGAACATTTGATTTTCTGTCCCAGAATGGCTGCCTCCTCGTGGTCTATAGGCTGACTGGACAGGGAATATATCCAAATCTCTGCAACTTTACCCAGAAACTCCTTCTGATTACTGCAAAGAGCCAAGACCTGCCCACCTTCTGCAGGATGCTGCATCACCTACACACACAAACAAATCAGCATGTAAGCATCTGTATGCTTCAAAAGTCTTTATTAACCTCACTGAGGAATCTGAAATACCTCTGCCATGTCTATAGAGCCAGCAGCCAAAGTCTTGTAACCCAAAATCGTTCGGTTTTTGTACCTCTTCCTCCGCTGAAGCAGGATTTGCAACTTATTTCCCTCGCGTTTCAGAAAATGAGGGTACTGCTCGTATAAAAACATGCACACACAGGAGAGAGAGAAGAAAAACATCAAATTCAGTTTCATAATAAAACTCTAGAACGATTCAGAGCACACTGAAATGATGTCTTAAAAGCAATAGTGGCTCTGTTTCAAAACCTAGTAAGCTGCCTACACAGAAAGCATTTGCAGACACACTCCCAAAGCAAAGACTGTTTCTATGATACCTTCCTTTTGTTTGAATTTCAAGGCAACTCAGCATGTATACTTGTATACATGCAGCAAAAAGCAATCCATTAGTGCATTGCAAAGAGCGATGCAGAGTGTTCCAAATCAATCACTTTAGAGGTTCTTTGTCAGGCAAGGCAGCTGTCAATGTAAGTAGTAGATAACTAGTCAGTTCACTATGTTTTGGTTCAGAGCCATTGTTTTTATAGCCATTTATGATTGAGCAATTCGAAAATGTGTGTTTTGGGGATATCTTTACCTGTAGTGAGAATGTGAGAGCGAGATCAGTCTCCACCACACCAGCAGGGGGCAGCACTATCTCATGGGAGCGCAGGATTCGCTTGGAGCCCTACAGGCACAAACAGTCACTTTATGTAAACACATGCTGTGTTTCACTTAAATGCTCCCTCTATTATCACTCTGAAGAAACAATTATCCTCTTAATTAGTCATTATGTTTATTGAAAAGTGTTTTTTCTAATTTTGCAAAAAGGAATTTATCCTCATTCTGTATTGGTGATTTTTCTATTTTTGGTGACTCTTTTAAAAGAGACCCTTTTCATATTAATTTTATAATTATTTTATTACTATCCCTTGCATAATCTTATATTCATAAATGCAAATGTTCAAAGAAAATACCTTTATTTTTATTTTCATGAAAGATGTTGATATATATTTGAATTCTTTGAGGAAACTAAAAATGAATTGCTTGCAAGACTCTTCAGTGGTGTAATACTTACTCTAATACACTTTCATTCATTTCAGAATCTCATGTATTGTAACCCTCTTAGAATATTTTGTTTATTGTCTTAAATGTTGTGTTCTTTGTTGCAAAAAAATCTAGACATGCTGCAGTTAAAAAACAACATACACTTTATGAAGCTGATGGCTAACCTGAATCTTGACTGCAATGACGACAGAAATCAGCTCCTTGTCAAGTTCCTTCATCACCACTAGCTTCTTCAAAGTCAGACTACACAACCTACAAAAACAACAGCATTACTTACAAAAATAGGTGATTATACATAACGTCTGTCTAATGCCGAGGAGTAATCTTTGTAATGAGCATGTGGGAAAAGTGCCATCTTACTTGCCATGGTTTATGGCACAATGCTAAGTAAAGGACATAATTGTCATTTTTGGGTGAACTATCCCTTCACTTTACAGCTGGTTTACAGACAGGAATAGACAGGCCCTCAGTTGCTGTTTATTAGTAAATGATTGGGAATGTGATCCATATGTTTGCTCCTGTAACAGGATGCGAGTTGATAATCTTGTTTTCTAAATCCTGAGTTTCTTATCAGTAAGGCACTGTATGAACCTTCAATTTCCAAAGAAAACTCAATCTTCCTAAGAAAGAACAACTACTGCTCTAAAACTCTGATGGGAAAAATTCTGCAGCTCAATCTGATTCAGGTCTGCTGAAAACAGGCCCATAGCAGCTTTCAATTGAGACAGATCAGTCCAGAAAACAGCTGGAATTCATGGGGCTGAAAAAGTGGGGTTCAGGGATTTTAGTCTCTTGGAAACTTGCATACAAAAACTGTTTATAAAACGTTCCATTGAGTATCTGTCATTTTAGGCAGGAGGAACCGTTCAAATGAGCCAAAAATCTAAGTAATTTTACTAAAACATAATAAACACACACCCTCGCTCTGATACAGCAGTAAACCTCAACACTGTACTGACAGACAGTAAACCTCCATCCACTGCCACAGCCATATCACCCTGCAGCCCAAGACTGATTGCCCACTGAAGCTAAGCAGGGTTGAGCCTGGTCAGTACCTGGATGGGAGACCTCCTGGGAAAAGCTAGGTTGCTGTTGAAAGAGGTGTTAGTGAGGCCAGCAGGGGGTGCTCACCCTGTAGTCTGTGTGGGTCCTAATGCCCCAGTATATTGACGGGGACACTAGCCTATACTGTCAAAAAGCACCGCCTTTCGGATAAGACGTTAAACCGAGGTCCTGACTCTCTGTGGTCATGAAAACTCCCATGGCTCTTCTCGTAAAGAGTAAGGGTTCAACCCCGGTGTCCTGGCCAAATTGCCCCCCTGGCCTTTGTCAAACATGGCCTCCTAATAATCCCCAACCACTTGATTGGCTCTATGACTCGCTCTCCTCTCCACCTGTAGCTGGTGTGTGGTGAGTGAAGCGCACTGGCGCCGTTGTACTGAGGCTGCCGTCGCATCATCCAAGTGGATGCTGCACACTGGTGGTGGTTGAGGAGAGACCCACCCCCACCCCACATGATTGTAAAAGCGTTTTGGGTGTACCACAAAGTGCTATATAAATGCATCATTCATTCATTCACTCAACACAGACAGTGATAATGCAAATGAGAAATTTAAAGAATCAAAACTCCCACATTTGCATCACAGAGCCAAACATTTCTATAATTAAATTAGTAGACCAAAAAAATACATTAAGTCATTATTTGCTGATAATCTTCCCTTTAGCTAATGCTCTGAAATTGAATAATGCTGGCGGGGCAAATTTATGCGCATATTCAAATTGCAAGACAAATCCATTTGATTCTCACACAAAGCTACTGCATGACTTCAGAATATTGGAATATAATGTACAAGCTGCATACTTTTATGATGGATTACATAAAGTGATTCTTCTTAAAGAGGTAAACAGACACAGGAAGTACTCGTAATACCAAGTTTTAGGCATTGTTCAAATAAGTACAAGCTAGAAAGGGAAGGAATAAATAAAGAGAAAGACAAAGTTTTGGTTTTATTTTAAATTTAGGATGAAGTCAAGTAGCGTCGAAAGAGATGAGTTTTCAGCTGTCGCTTGAAAATTGTCAGGGATTCAGCATTCCGGATAGGGGTGGGAAGATCATTCCACCAGCCAGGAATGGTGAACGAGAATGTTCTGGAAAGTGATTTTGAGCCTCTCTGTGATGGTACCACGAGGTGTCGCTCACTAGAAGATCTTAGACATCTGGTGGGGATGTAGATTCGTAACAGTGAGTGGAAGTAGGTGCCGGCGGGTACTGAGCCTGTGGCTGTTCTATATGCAAGCATCAATGTCTTGAACTTGATGCTAGCCCCAACCAGTAGCCAGTGCAAGGAGATAAAGAGAGGTGTAACATGGGCTCTTTTGGTCTTGTTGAAGACTAGTCATGCCGCTGCATTCTGAATCGTTTGTAGAGGTTTGATTGTGCTTGATGGAAGTCCAGCCAGAAGAGCATTGCAGTAGTCCAGCCTACAGATGACAAGGGCCTGGTCAAGAAGTTGTGCAGCATGCTCCGTTAGAAAGGGCCTGATCTTTCTGATGTTGTGCAAGGCAACCCTGCAAGGTCTTTGCAATGTGGTCTTTGTAGGTCAGCTGGTCATCAAAGATTATACCAAGATTTCCGACCGAAGTTGATGGGGTAATTGTAGAAGAAATGGCATGTTGTAGGATGGCTGGAGAGATGTTTTGATACTTCTGCCTCAGTGAGGGGAAAAAATGAGAATATGGAAGTTTTAGCAGTGGGTGTGGTTGGTTTGAAGTCCTGTGTATGTGGGGCTGAGAATTGACTACTGATTGTTCTAGTTTTGTCTGTGAAGAATGTGGCGAAATCATCAGCTGTTATAGAAGTGCTGGGAGGTGGTGGAGGGGGACAGAGGAGAGAATTTAATGTTTTGAAGAGATCATATGTGTCTGGAGTGCTGTTGATCTTGTTGTGGAAGTATGACGATTTGGCAGTATGGACTTCAGCAGAGAAAGATGAAAGCAAAGACTGATACATACTCCGGTCTGATGGATCTTTTGATTTGCGCCATTTTCTCTCTGCTGCCCTGAGTTTGGTCCGATGCTCACGAAGAACATCGGATAACCAGGGGTTAGAAGGGGCAGCCCTGGAGGAGAGAGGACAAATATCGTCTAGACAAGAGGTTAAAGTAGAGCATAAAGTGTCAGTTGCTGCATTCACATTCCACACACAGGAGTGAATGGACGGCTGTAGCATAAGGCTTGTCCAGATGAATGTTGAAGTCGCCAAAGACTAAAAGTGGACTGCCATCCTCCGGGAATGAGGACAGCAGCCCATCCAGCTCCTCTAGGAAGGTGGCTAGAATTTGCCCAGGAGGGCAGTAAATTACCACAACCTGGAGTTTTATAGGAGCTGTTACAGTAATCGCATGAGATTCAAATAAGTTATAAGGGACCAGTTCAAGGGACCAGAGAGGCCCCTAGAGGCCCTAGAGCAGCCTGAACAGAGAGAGAAGCCAATGGAAACAGACCCACATGCATGCACCTAATAGAATATTGAGAAACACTTTATATATTCAAATCACATACTAGGTACTATGAGGACAAGGAGGAGAGAGAGAGAGAGAGAGAGAGAGAGAGAGAGAGAGAGAGAGAGAGAGAGAGAGAGGCACACAATCTCTCAAGAGATGAAGCCAATGGAAACAGACCCACATGCATGCACCTAATAGAATATTGAGAAACACTTTATATATTCAAATCACATACTAGGTACTATGAGGACAAGGAGGAGAGAGAGAGAGAGAGAGAGAGAGAGAGAGAGAGAGAGAGAGAGAGAGAGAGAGAGAGGCACACAATCTCTCAAGTGATCTGGAGGTTGGTATTGTTCACATACTATTCTCACTTTAAGACACACACACACAAACAAAAGCCATTCTTCTTCCCTGAGCAATTAGCATGCTAACTCTGACCACAACAACAAAGGAACACACAGCGGTTTTGAGCAGACTACATTCATACATTTTTCTCTCACATTCACACACTATCACCGATTAAAAACTATTTTTGCAACCACAAAAACACAAACTTAATGGTTTTCTACTGTGGCTGTAGCTGATGACCTCAAATTATCCTCCTCCTCCTCCAAAAAAAAAAAAAGCACAAGTTTGGATGTTAAAACAATCCTCAAGAAACAAAATTACGTTTATTGTTGGAAAATTAGGCACATTTTGAATTAGCCCAAAAAGTAATATATTAATAACATAAAAACTCTTTTGAATTTAAGCAGTATGTAGCACAGTAAAAATTATTTCCGTCCAGGCATGATTTTCATAAATTAAATACAGTACAACAGATAATGTCATATATAGGACGACTTCTAATTCTACTTTGCAAATATACTTTGCAATTTAAATAATGTATTTATTCCTGCATTATAGTAATATGAATGAAGATTTTACATTACAGTACACTAAAGTTAATTGGGGAAGATGATTATTTGTAATTTCTAAAACTTATATATTAGATTTTGATATAGATTTTGCAGTTAAATTTGACCGGTTCGCCCCATTAAAACACTGCCATATTGCAAGTTAATCACACACACTCAACAAATTACTGTAGTTTTAAACAGTCAACACACTATATTTATAATATTACATGAAGTAAAAATAATTTATTTGAGTGAAAGCTGTGTCAGAGGTTGATCATTGAGACCACCAACAAACACAACAGGAAACAATGGCCACACACACACATTTTTTGCTCTGTTTTTTCAGTACAAAGCCTGATTATTTCAGCTGGTGTGGTGTGAGACTGTGAGGTGTGTGTTCTGCGTCTCTAACTGCACACACATTCACGTCAATCAAACCCCTCTAATAACTATGAATAAATTCATATAAAGATCTAACAGCCCTCAGTGACCTCTCACAGAAGAACAGAGACTGTTCATCCTCACTGGAGTTGAAGATAAACGTGTCTCACTCCACTCAGCTGGATCCAAACTCAATCACAGCTCCATTACACACTCTCTCCTGCAGATACTGTGTGTGTTTCTCTCCGGCAGATGCTGCAGAGACTCTGAAAGCACAGAGGGAATTAGACCAAAAAATAAATTTAATTTGTTTCTCATCAGAAACCCTTAGCTCCCTTCACTCCTGAATCAGGTTACTCGAACATCTACTGTAACTGTAAGTCTGAAAGGGCAGTGCTAAGCGGTGAAACTGTGCTCAGGTTACGGGCCAAGACAGAACACCAGGATTAGCTGATGCATTAGTACACAT